TTTTGGATATCATATAGAAAGCGTTGTGATGTTTCTTAATAATGTTAAATCGTTTTTTTAAGAGTTGTAACATCAATTTTGCTTCGTGGTCGTTCCAAACTATTTAGAATGCTTTATGGCTATACCTACTTACAAGTGCCATAATACAAATTTGTCTTTTGTGTAAAGTGTGTACATAGCAACGAGAAATCGTTTTCCAACATATAATGAAGATATTGATTTCTATTGAAACCTCTTTAATAAATAAATTAAGTGCATGTTCGTTTTGTCTGTAAATACACAGGTTCATGGTTTAAAGTTGGCAGGGTTTAATTTCCGGACAGTTGGATTTTAAAAGTTATATATAAATATAATTGAACCAAAAAATGTTTCTAAAGGTCACTAATGATGGATACCTGGTAATCTGAAACAGCAGGTATAGTCAGGTTAAGTAATTATTTGATGAAAGATGTTTCTTTTGGAGGTTCTTTTGTATTGGTTTTCATTAGGTTCTATTACAACTCTTTTCTTTTTAAAATGAATTTTTTAATATAGAATGTATGATTCCTAAAAAAAGATTTTAAGTATAAGTAATCACCGTTTCATTGATGCAGTTACAGTAATAAAATAATAATTTATAAAGTATATTAAGAAAGAATGAGCTATATCGTATCATAATAATTTGATGAAAAGTACTTTGTATTCAAGTCACATATATTAGAAAAATCTGTGCCTTAATCAATACTAAAATAATGATATTACAATTAGATCGCCCCTTGACACACGGGATCTGGGTTTAAATACCAATCAAGTCTGGTTCAAAAATATGCTCTTAAACACGCTTTAACAGCAATAGAGCACGAAGCACTTGCTTTCGATATTATTTACCAATCTGTGAAGAAGTGAAGCAAATTTTTGTTTAAAAGTAAAAATAGAAATCCCAATTTCTAATCTAGAACAGATAGAATACTTGTCCAGTTTTTTATTGTTCACACATGTAACATTCTTTTGAGAAGAAAACAAAGTTTTGATGAGAAAAAACTGCTAATATATAGTTGCCTTAAAGGAAATTAAGTAAAAGTGCCAATATTGAAAATTTGTACTCTTTTTTATATATTTTTTTCAGTCTGATCATTTAGTGTATTCTTTTTAAAATTAGTAATTTTTTTACTATAACTTCATTTTGTAAACCAATTTACTAAGTATTCGACCACAACCTTCTCCCATTTACAAATATTATAAGCAAAAATTTCTGTCTACAATTGCTTTTCACCAACCAAAAATGCTCAAATAAAAATTTCTTCATAGTGAATATATATATTATTTTTTATAATTCTTACCTTTTTATATATATTCGAAATAAATTTCATTTCAAGTTGTGTACAATCAAAATTTTATTGCTTATTTGTACGTAATGTGCGCAGCAAACTGCTTTGATTTGGTACAAAATAAACAAGTATAAAAAGATACAAATATCAAATGAAATCCCAAATGCGACCCAACAAATGTCGATGGATGGATGGAGTTCAGATGAAATTTCGAAATGAAAATGCACACACATGAATCGCAAATATTTCCAAGTGTGCTCAAGCGTATTTTTTAATCAGTTTTTGTAGGTGCGAATTTTATGTCGGAGGTGTTAACCGATTTGATTTTTATTATTCATCTGCAGTGGAAGTGAAACATATTTGCAATAACCGTGATATTCTGCAAACTCCATATGGCATCCATAAATGTTTTTCTCTTTTTTCATTTCAAGTGAACTTTAAACGCTTTTACCCAGCATTTTTTTCCCACCAGATGAGCTTGTAAAACTTTTTACTAAGTTTATTAAAAGTTTTTTTTATTTTATTGCTTGGAGACTGATATAATATATACATTCCATTGGGATATGCTGAAGCAATAAATGAGTGAATTCAAATGTTATTAGTGCAACTACGTACATTATAAACTATATTTTATACAAACCAACAATCTGTCAAAATATATAGGAATAACTATCTATAGGAGAGAATATTTGAAACTTACTTTATAAATTAAAGGAGCAATAATGGAAACCTAGTCATAAATATGAAAATACGAAATAGGAGTCTGTGCAGTAATGTAATAACGACATTATCCATGAAAGGAAGAATAGACTATCAATCCATGTGTATATGTCACATATTTTGTATCGTGTTTAGGTATAATAGAATTTCCTTCCATTATATGAATTGGAAGTTAAGTTCATTCCAACAGATCTATAAATTCTCTACACATAATATTAGTGTATCATGCTAAACTTGTTCAGTTCTCTATGAAAGTTATACTCATTGTATGTGAAAAAAGTTAATTAGTTAAGTTGCTTGTAAATTCAGAGTACAAGGAATACGGCTGTAATCATATCTTGATGGGAAGTTGATGACCACAATGTTTTGGGCACCATTTTTTGCAAAGCACTTTGCATTGTATATATCGCTTACTTTTTATTTTTTTAAAAAGACTTTTTTAAAAAAAAATGTATGGACACTTATATGTGTTTTTACTCTGATTAAATTTTTAAAATATTGGCACGAAATGCATTTTAACATAGCATATAGATCAGCTTTCAGCGGATCTTTTATGTTCCCTAAGTTTAAAAAGTGATTAGAAAAAGAGCTAAGAGTCAACTTATCGGCGATAATAAGGTGCACATATAATATAATATATTACTCGAAAGGCTTGAAAAGGTAGGAATATCATAGTTTTAGGTTATGTACATCATTATATATTCGATTTACACAACAAATTGATATACATAGCCTTCTATTCAGCTCTACAGGTGTGGTTATAGTAAGCACTGGCACTGTGCTCATTCACATGTGCTACAATTTTAACTTACAAAAATTTACTATATGAATATTAAACTATATAATTTTCCATATCTACGCTTTTCTTTATTACTGTAATTGTATTTTCTTACTAAGAGTTTAAATTTTCACATTGTTGTTAGTTTCACTATAGCTTTCCATCTTAAACGACATTTATTTCTCATTTTGAAGTAATTTGATCTTAATAAGATAGAATCACATCATCGTATCTGGTTTGTGTAGTGGCCTGGGCATAATAAATTTTTGGAATCGTACTTCTGGTGTATTTAATAAACTAATTAAAACTTCCCGTATTCGTTAGGGTATAAAATGTGTAGATATTAAAAATGCAACTAAGGAAACAAATATGCGATACATATACTCGTTAAATCAACGCAAGACGGCATCAAGACATTTGAACCGATTGTACGTAATAGAGAGGGTTCAATAGGGTGTAATGAATTTCGTTGCCTAATTTACGCATTATTTGTTGACTTTAAGAAAATCTTCGACCGCCGGAAAGAGATAAGAGAATTAAAGCAATGTACGATAGCTTATTGGTCAGCTCCCTGAACCGTTTTCGGTGAAAACCGGCGTCAACAGTGGTGCATTTCATCTCCTCTTCTCTTCATATTTGCCTTAGATAAGGTGCTCGAAAACCTTGAATATCCTTACGATTTAACTTTTTTAAGCCACAGATGCACCGATCTTCCAAATAATATCAATAGAATAAGCACTAATGCGCGTTACGCTGGCCTTGATTTTAATACGTCAAAAACAAAGGTTATGTGCAGCGGCTCCACCTACAAATCGCACCTCGTATTCATGAAGCGTGGTCTGTATTTGCTCAATTAAACCCTATATTTAATTTAATTAATTTACTATCTGTACAAAGTCACACATTTTTAACGGTATGTCAAGTCCATCCTTTTCCGCTAATTCTTCTTGGAATGATGTGCCCATAAACATTCAAAATTATTTTAGTCTTAAGTTGATTGTAGAAGCCTATCCTCTAGATAGGAGAAAAAAATATATATCATTTAAAAATCGTCAACATAAAGATTCAATATTTCTTTACAACTAATGAAGATGGTATTTTGTCTATTTGTTGAAAGGAGTAAAATGCCATGGTATCTTAATAAACTCGCTGCTAGAATGCAATTGTAAGAACTCTTTCTTATGTTCCATAAATATTATAAGTACTCCACGAATGCTGGAACCTCCACGATCCTACGACGGTGGTCACCACTATTATGAAGCAATTGATAAGCTTTAATAAAATTATTCATTATTGCAAATGATATCACAACTGTTTAATTAATAATTTCTAACCTAATCTAACCTGAGTTCGTAGGAGTTGAATAATATATAGTATCGGTATGGTATAAGACATTTGGAACTGAAATAACAGTAGCATTAAATTCCCATAAAAAAGGGAACAATCCTTTGAAAAAACAAATATGAAAGCATTTTTATTTTTAAAATAAAATTTTATTTCTAATACCCATTCATGCATTTAAATCAGCAATTATTTTTGTGTTGTATGTTTTTTTGTTTTTTTTTTTTTTGAAAAATGCTACGTCAACAAACACTACAAATTTATCAAAACAATAATTTTAAACTTTTGTACAAACAAAAATTGACGTCATCATTGCAAGTTCGATACAAAGTAAAATTTTGTTAACAGAATTTTGCACATTTAATGGTCAAAAAATAAAAAGAATAATTTATTTAATTTTTCGTTTGTTCAAAAGTTCAGCCCTGACTCTAGCTGACCTTATCGGGGCTCATAAAACAGGAAATAAAATTTCGAAACATTCATGTTTGATGCCATTTTTTAAGCCGAGCAAATTTATTAGAGGACGAATTCGGTTTCGCTGGTCAATTTTCTGTTAAATGTCACCGAATTCGAGTGGGCGTGAACAAGAAAATCGAAATGAATCACTGTCCATGGCTGCTACAAACGGAAAACAATAAAAACTCAGGGAAAATTAATGAAAAATGAATGAAAATTAACAACTGTTAAAATTTTTTTATTATTTTTATTTTAGTTGTAGTTGTTGTTTTATAATGTTTTACTTAAACTTGTTTATAAAAACGATTTTATTTGTATAAAAATTTATTAGCACAAATGTTTTTGAAGCTTAAAATGAAAAATTTTTTATTTTCTTTTCTAATTATTATTATTTTTCTTTTTAAAATAAATATTCTCACGTCACAAAAGTCATTAAATAAAAAAAATATGTAGAAAAATATTTGTGCAAAACAAATTGTCTTAAAGTTAAAAGTGACCTCACTCTACTCTTGCGTTAAAAATTACACAGAAATCGAATGTTTCCCGTGCTTAGTCACCGAAGAGTTTCTTGCCCAAGTCCATCATTCTGTGATTGCGACATACACGCAATGCATCAGCCTTCTTTAATACAGCCACAACATCTGCATTCACATCGACAAGCTGTGACAAGAAGTCTTCATAGGCGGACTTAACATTCGCTGGTAAAGTGCCGATTTTAACTTTCTTTAATGTTTGTACTATACCCTCAGCCCAGCCAGATTCGATGGCGAATTCAGATATCCAAGGTACAAGTGGCAACACACCGCACATGGTTTGCATGCCCAAGAACCAGAGTTCGGATATTTCCATCCAGTGCTCCTTATAGGCTATAGAAACGACTAACGCAGTTGGATCGATGGATTCATCAATATTGTAAGCATCCCAAAGGAAGCGTATAGTTGCTTGCAGATAGCGGCAAAATGAAAAATCATTCTTTTTGACTTTATGCGCCTGTTGCTTCAGTAAAAGCAGACCCAGCACTGATAGATGTCCATTCATTACAAGATTATCGGAAGTGTCTTTTAGCTCAGGTAAATTTTCAACTACAAACTTAAGTATGCTAGCAAATAAAGGTGAATCTTCAGCACGTTTGGGTTCCAATACAGTGAAATTCATCAAAATGTTACATAGAGAAACAATGGCTTCACGAGCATCTTTCATTTCTTCTAGTTGTTTCGGTGTAGGTACTGGATCTGGTTCATTCATACGTTTAAGACGTTCAGCGCGTGGTACAGGTGGCCGTTTGTAGTGCGCAATACTAAAGTAGAACTCTAATAATTCCAATAGAACTTCGTCCTGCTTGAAAGTGAAAATAACTTTACGTGCATCATCTTCTACAGCCAAATGACAAAGTGCAGGTAGCATAATTCGCAATACGTCAACTGGTTGTTCACCTTCCCGACTACCAGCGCGCCATGTTTTCAAAGAGTGGAAAGATTCATTTGCCACTTTGAACATAAAGGGAAGAAGTTTGTAGATTGCAGGACGCATTGCTGTTGTTTCTTGAGCTAACCAAGCAGATAATATGCGTACAATAGCGAAAATAAATTTGCGTTCACGTGGCTTGTCACTATCCTTGATCTTGTCATTAGAGACACGTGTCAACACAGCCAACACTTGGTTAAAAGCACCTTTTAATGCTGTATAAGTAGTTTGCTTTTCTTTTGCATCCAAGTCGACCTGATCACTTGCCATATGTTTTATGCAGAGCTCCAATATGACAAAGCAATTGGTTAGTAAATCAGAATTCTTAAAAGTGGTTTCCAACTTCTTCTCATCCATTTGCATGCGTACTTCAATCGCAGCTAAACCGAGTAACACCAAAAAGAAAGATTTCTGTTCATCCATAAATACCCACTGTATACCAAGTACTTGCAATATAGTGGCAATCAATTGCAGTGTTGGCTCTCTTTGCTTGGGACCAATTTTACTCTTTAGTATATCACCGCAACCTTTAAACAAACTTTCAGGCCAAATTTCACCCTCCAAAGAGTTGAATACAACATCACGCCGACAAGTTTTTAGGATAGATGACAAAACCTTGCATAGATCGTATTTACGTTCACTATGATCAGTTTCCATATCCAACGCTATACGTTGAACTAAAGCATGGAAAGGTTTCGGATCATCTGACCAAGACTCAGCACCGAATTTATCCACTAAAAGTACAATTAAATGCAAAGCTTCGTCTGTTTGGAAACTTTGTGCAGAATAGATTTGCGACATTTTCGGTATGGCACCCATAGCCAACAAAGCATTTTGTCCCGGTTCGTAGGTAGCAATACTTTTCAAGCAACTGTAAGCTTCACTAACTACAATTAAATTATCATCATAATCATCATCATCTGCAGTTTCAACAATTTCCAATAATGTTGGTATAGCTTCTAACATATCTTTATGTGTCGCCAGTTCTTCTTCTTGACAGAAGCAAGTCAATATCGAAAGTGCAACACTTTTGTAAACCAAAGGTGGGCAATCATTGGGTAAATCTTTGGAGCTCAGTAGCTTCTTTAGAAAATTGAAACCGATTGCTTCAAATAATAATTTTTTCGCGGCCACTGTACAGTCCTTGCCCTTCACCAATTTCGTCACCATAAAAAGTGCAGCGAACTTTTCAGTATCGCTTTTAGTGCCCTTTAGCATACCCGCGCACTTCTTGACGGCATCCGGAATTTCGGCCATTTTATTCGTTGAAATCTTCTAATTGCACAGTTTTTTCTTTCGTTTTCGTTCACGCTTTGTTGCGTTTAATTTTATTTTTGGATATAATACTTCTTTATGTATTTATAATTTTATATAGAACAGTCTATGCTTGCATATATATGTTAATATATATATGTTCAAGTATATATATTTAGTACCACAGTCTCATATATTTTCGATGCAAAATGCTAATTAACGAACTACACTTGCCGACGCGCTCTCGTAGACTGATCTGCGGAAAATCTTTAAGGCAGCTTTCACAATAATTTTCAAAATTTTCAATCTTTTTGCTTTTTATTTCGTGTTAGACAAAACCTACTCAATTTTTATTTATAAAAATAAAAAATCATTGGTTTGTTAATGTGTTAAATATTTTTAAAATACATACATTTTTGTGAGGTATTGCAGACTTGTATGTATGCTACACACATTACCTGATAGCACTTTTTTTTAATAATTAAATATAGAAAATTCGAAACACATATTTATATACTTTATATGTCAATTTACTTTATATATTAAATACTGTAAAAATACTTTAGTCAAGAGACAGGTTTTAAGTATTGCATATTAATTTAACTTACATCTCCACTGTTATTACTTTGATAAACAAAAATAAGAAATTAACAAATTAAAATTAAAATAAATTAATTTTTAATTTTTTTGTTTCTAAAAATTACAAAAAAATTTAAAAATTATTTTATAGATATTATATATAAATATTATAAATATATACGTAATATATACTACGAAAATTGCTATTGCTTTTTATTCATTAGTTTAACATATTGACATATTTGCAATAATTAGGACTTTTTCAAAAGAAACACGATGGAAAACTTAAGAATTTTAAACTTAAATTAATTTAATTTAACCCTGGAGCGGCCGCCAGGGTTAGTTTACATATACAAAACATGCTTCTTGAACCCACTAAAACCACTTCTTAGGAATGATTATGGAAGATTGCAGCCGCGTGCTGTGGATACAACCCCTTTCTAGTAATCAAGAGAGAGAAAGAGAGAGAGAGAGAGAGATTATAGCAAGAGGTTTAATACCTAGCGGACTAGGGTCATCTAAGCCAGAAAGCATGGGCGTAAAACAGGGAAATTGGGTGTTAGTGAAAAGGGTGGGATTAAAACATGCTTCTCATTAGTTGCTGCCTTTTTATACATATGTGTAATATACATATAAGTGAAAAAAAATGTTAAATATTTTTTAAAAACTAATAAAAATTTTTTACTTATGTTTTTTTATGGGTCTTCTTTTACCTCCAACTTCATGTAGATCATAATGATATGGTACAATTATTCCACACCTCAAACTACTTATTTGATATATTCCTGGAAATAGAAAAATGATTATGCAAAGTTTGGAGGGATTCCGATTTGCCTATAATACCCAAATTCCATGTATAAAAGACTCCGTCTAAAGAACTGTTTTTTCATTTTAGAATCACAATTGGTTCAGTAAATTCTAAGTTTTGAATCGAATTTTAATTTTGCCTCACTCTGCGAGGATTCAAAATTGATTTTGGTGCACTCATACCCCATAGAATATGAATATTTCATAAAAAAGTGGGTTCCAAATTATTCAAATTTCAGTGTGATTTAAAAAAAAAATACAGTCCTATTATTATAGTTGTTATGGACGACTAAAATAGGTCGCGTAGGTGGATTCAGAAACCGTAATCCTGAAATTATTTTAAAGTTCAGTATATATGAATTTGGAGTAGACATGCCTAATCGAAAATTTGCATTCTTTGATGAGAAATAAAAAAAATGCATTCGCCAAAGACGTTAATCTCATTTCCAGTCAAATTCTTCAATTAAAATTATTGTGAGTAGAGAGTTTTTAAGGTATTAATATATTGCAGTGATAACTGAAAACCCCATTTAGCAAAATTAAAATTTTTACCTAGAGATATTATGTATTATTTTTGAAAAATATTGTTATACAGAAAGATATATTTATAGCAGTATCTGAGTAAATAACAGGTTCGCATCACCTGTGAGAAGACCACAATATCTTATACCTATGCAAATAAGAATTCCTTTGAGTTTTGTAGTTTCCAAATTTTTTATACAAGTAATGATTTCAACATAGTGTGATTTAAATGGTGCAGTGTGAACTCTCTGTGGTAGTCAGAAAAATGATTCCGCAGCATGGTTACCTTTAGACGTCATTGTAATTTTTTGATTTTATATTTTACTACATCTCCGTCTTATTACCATATGAACTTTGGGAATACAAAATCTTTCTTAATTGTTAGCCTATTATCATTTAAAATTATAGATTGTTATACAATATTATATATATTGTATATTAGGCCCATTAAACTGACATTATAAACTATATGAACATTTTATTGGAAAACTATATATAATTATTAAAGAAATTAGATAAGTTTTAGTTATTTTTAAGTAGAAGAAATATAAGAAAATACATATATCGCAAACTATTAGTACTCGTAATTGAAGTGAAAGACCTAATCTAACACACAAAATAGAAATTGTAGCGTCACCCAAAATGTGAGAAATTTTTCCTTTCGATTTTCGCGATTCTCACGCGTACGTCATCGACGCCGGTGTAAGAAATTCTCTTCTTCTTTTCAGCTCTCTGTAACCACATATAAGATCTCCAATTAATTCATTTTTATATATATTTAAAAGAAAAAAAAACACATTTTATATTTCCAAATTTTCTTTACTTTCATTTTGTTTTTCCAACACATTTCGGAATGTTCTCTCTAGAAGTCGTTGTCTCGATGAAGACACGTTAAGTAGTCGTGCATGCAAGAACATATGTGCAGATATATTTCTCTATGTTTATAGAAGATCGCGTACATTGCTTCTTCTTATTCGTATTCTTCTTCTTCATGTTTGAGCGTGTGTTCAGTGCATATATGTGGTCATGTATGTGCATTGGTTCCAAAATTACACTTCGTACTTTCTGTTTGGGGTGTTGGCTATACAAGCGTGGCAACAGCCGCATTTTATTTATTTTTAAGATATTTTACATTTTTAATTTTGATAAAAATAAATGCATAAACGCTGCATTTTGCTTGAAACGTAAAATATAAATGGCAAATATAATGCGATTTAAATCAAAATTGATAGAATTAAAACAAATATTTTATTGTTACAAATTTATATTATTTTTGACTTGCATTATTGAAACTTAGTCATTCATTTTATTAAGCATTTGTATTAATAGTATAGATTAATATACACTTAAGTATTTGATTTAAATGAATATATAATTTACATATGGTAATGTTCGTGAAAACTGCTATGAAAGTTATGTTTTTTAATAATACTCTAATAATTATTTTTTTATTTCAGGTAAATATTTTAAATAGGTTGTGATACTTATTTAAAGAAATGTTTATATTTCTAAATATATATTACATATTTTATAATATATTATATTACATATATTATAATATAAAAATTGATTTGTTGATTCAATTCAACAATTTTAATACCAATTTATTTATAAACTTCAGTAATTTGAGTTCGTTCATGGTCCGGATTAGGAAATATAACATAAATAACAAATGTTTGATTCGAATCATATGTTTTCAACATGACTATTCGAGAGTCTAGTGAAATAAATCCAATGTAATGGTTATATGCACACTCACATGAATTTTTCATACTTTGTTCACTATTTGCTTATAAACTTTGTTATATATCATGTGAATCGGTCACTTCAGTTATGGATTTTTAAAACCAACTGTGAATTATTGTTCGATCTTTATTTTATATCTGTTGTTAAAATAAAATAACTCCCGTAATCTGAATGTCTTAATTAACCAAATTAAGCCCAATTTTATGAGATCCTGATAAGCAAAACCTTTACAATTACAACAAGACTTGTTTGGGCAAAAAGTGTACGTCATTTGTAGTCAAAATTGGAATTAACTTATTTCTTATTTCAGAAATAGCTTAATTAATAAAAGTTTTAAAATAGATTCTGTTGTTAAAACAATTATATGCATACATATATTAGACTTCTTCCTGATTTTTAATGTGACTCCCGTAATCTGAGAGTATGTATAATCTAAATTGAATCCAATATATAATGAATCCGGATTGAAAGATTCAATGTAAATATAATAGGATTAGTTTGGGCAAAAAGTACTCGTCGTTTTTAGTCGAAATTGTTATCTATTCAAGTTTTATTTAAGAAATATTTTTACTAAAGCAAATATTTCTCAGTTTCTTCGATTGTTTCTTGTTATATTTTCATCAAAATGATTAACTTGTTATTTTTAATTCTTCAAATTCTAAGACCCCGTTTCATAAAATAGTTATTAGCAAAAATGAATATATATGCAACTATAATAATGCCACAGTTCAACATTTCTCAACAAAATCGAAATCCGCACAGGAAAAATATTCAATATTCAAAATATTTTCAAGCACCGATCCCAATATCTTCCCAACAAATAATAATGTTAAAAGGGAAAATAAAATATTTAGTATGAATTAAAATTGTTTTTTTTTTTTAAATTAATTTCACTTTCCATAAAATTTTTATATTTATTCAAGAAATTTGTCAACTTATCACATCATTTCATTATGACTGTTTTTATTTAAAATATGACTGTCACGTTTTATTGGTTAACTCATTATTTTTTACATTAAGACTGAAAAGTTTTCGGAAATTCTCATTTAAAATTCGCGCGCTGTATATTTTTCGATATTTTAAGTTTATGTAGTTTGGCAGCACTGTCCTTAATTACTATGCCAAAAATGAGCGCGATCTGTCAGACAGTTCGTTTACGGCAGCTGTTGAAACCAGTTCACCTCAGTAGTGCGTTGCGAAATGTCTTCGACGGTCGTACGACCGTCCTGAAAGGCTTTGTACCACTCATAAACTTGAGTTTTCGATAAAACTGATTCCCCATAAGCCTTTTGTAGCATTCGCAACGATTCTGCACACGAAATTTCGTTCGAAACACAAAATTTGATGCAAACTCTTTGTTCAATATTTTTTTCCATTGTTTTTTTCGCAACGCACTACTGAGGTGAACTGGTTTCAACAGCTGCCGTAAACGAACTGTCTGACAGATCGCGCTCATT